CTCTCAGGGTTAATGTGTTGTCCTACAGCAGATTAGTGAAGGGATTTCAGTGTTGCTGGAGCATCCTAATTAGATCACAGTGGGTGCTGCCTGCTTAAATAGATGGAATAATGAAAGTCGTCACTCTTCGCAGCGGCAACTTCATTATTGCGCCCTATCTCAGCTCATAAAAGGCCCAACATTCACCTGGAACAGGACTCAATGAGATGGATTCAATTATATGTATCAATAAAAGGAGAGCAGCACTTTCTTCTCAAGTTTGGATGTGCTGATGATGATTGGTGGGCAAAACTGCCATCTTAAGGACTGAGATGGTACTGCAGTCATGGCTGAGAAAAATATTACTGCTTCACACATGTGGTCAAAAAGCTATTGCAGAGAAACACTTCTATATCTAAATCTCTTCACCTGAACATAAACTGAAATGTTTTGTAGTATTTTCTGCTTTAAAAAAAAGGCACATGCTGTTTCTTTGACAACAAACTCTGTATACTGCTGCTCTTAAAAACATTGTGTGCAACATCCATGGGAATTAAGATAGCAGCAAACCACTATTTCCTATGTAAAGACATAGTGGAGAGATGGTATCCTTAGCAGAGAATGAAGTCACACTACCTGTGTGTGTGTTGTGATCTGAGCTTCTCTGTAGTTTGGTTTGTTAAACTGGGCCGGCTGAGCTTGCATGTGTTAGCATGCATGGGCTAGCTCATCGTTGATACCACTGATATTGGGACAGCATCATCGCGGAACCTCCCCTGGCTCTGTCAGCACTGTTGCTGTTGTTTAGCGCTGTTTCTGGAGCTAGCAACATTAGCTGCTAGCTACCGACTTAGCCACCTCCATGTTGAGAACTATGGCCAGACAACACATACAGTACGCTCCGAATTTTGCACAGAGCCCCTTTTAAAGATGCACAGATCAACACATTTCTATCAAAAGTGGATCAGATAACAAGGTACAATGTGAGAACAATAGGAATTATCACCTGACTGCTGTTTATCTCAATGCTACGAGGTGTTTTTAGGATCTCTTACCTCATGGTTTTGGTTTACGGCCTGCAGCTTTACACTTTTAGTTCACTTTAAACACACTCATCTTTTTTTTTTTCATTTTTTAAACACAAAATAAACCAACTGTATTCTTTCAGGTTAGCAGATAAAGTTAACAGCTAGCTGGTCAACACAGTGTAACATGTAGCAGCTTAAGAGACAGATATTTCCCTCAGAGGATGGTGCAGACCAAAAACAGAGCTAAAAGAGTTTCATTTTGTGGCCAGAGATAAGGCTCAAAATGAATGTTAATGTTGGTCTCAGTATTTGTTTGCTTATAAAGGTTAAACAGGTGCATATTTGAATAAGTTGATAATGTGTTTTCAGTCTGAAGCACGCAAACTCCTCTCAAAGCAAAATTTGGCCAGTCAAGGGGAGAGCAGCTGAACTGTCAATTCTAAAACATGATCACACCTGTGCATGTGTGCCTGGTGAGCCAAACAAACTTTGTGTTTTAAACAGAATTATTTTATCGTGAAGGTAATGCAAATGCAGCCTGAGGAACTGGATTTTATGCAAATATTAAATTTATTGTGTTTTTATTTTAATGCAAAATGATTCAGTTATAAAATGTAGGTCTGCCAATAGTTTATTGTTTCTTTTTGTAAAGGATCATGACAGTGCAGGAGCAGTGGCGGTGGCAAGGTATGAGTGTCTTTATTATTGATAAATGTTCAGTTCACAGGCAAAGTGCTGGTTGCTGTTCATTGTTTTACCTATACTTTAGTGAGCTGGACATAATAATTTATAGTTGTATCTTTGTTAGTGCTGCAGTTGGTGTTGGCTTCCAGTCACAGGAGTAGCATGTGTAGCGGGAGTTCACCTGTTGAGTTGTGGTTATATATTTAAGGCTTGCTGTGGCACTGGTAGTAGTTTGGGTGTTTTTCTGTTGAGAAAAGGGGTTTATCTTGTGTACAGTTTTGGCTATCCACTTACAGTATACTTCCAGTGCATTGCCCTGCTGATTGGTACAACACACTCCTGCAACGAGACACTTTAACTTTTAACTGCTTTTACAATATTGCTGCTGGTGACCCTGAGTTTAATAAAAGCCTTTTATGGCGCTTCGACCCACACAGTTCACCTGTAGTTATAATGTGTAGTTGGGTGGCACATATTGTTAAGCGAAGAGACAAACTGAACAGTCAAAGCCATACTTTTTATTGAGGCCACTGAGGTTACCTCCTCTATAGTTTATCAGCAATTTAGCAACCTTGGTGGATTACTGTTCCGTAAACAGACGTTACAGTGATGGTTATTTTACCAGCTCTGATTCCCGTATTTTACACTGAATATATTTCTATGGGAGATAAAGGGGCTCTATGCCAAATTCAGAGTGTATGAGTTGTCTGGAGACGGTTCTCAACATGGAGGCGGCTGAGCCTGTGGACAGCAGCTAATGGGGCTAACTGCATGAACAGTGCTGCATGAACAGTGCTAAAACAGCAACGATGATGCAATCCCGATACACACATGCGCTAACATGCATGCATGGCTAGACCAGTTTACCACAACAAACCACAGAGAAGCTCAGATTACATCACATGCATAGGTAGAGAAACTTCATTCTCTCATCAGGACCAGGCCCCCAGGAAGTGTTTGACCATCAGAATTTGATTCATGGGTTCTGATTACATTTGGAAAGTCGAGAGAGGCTGCATGACGCTCGGGGCGCCTCACCAAGGGCAGCCCCCTCACTCTGATGTCTCTCCACTTTGTGCATGTATAGGTCCTGTTTGTGAGTGGGTGTGTCTTTCGGACCTGTGTGTAATTGACAAGCAAGAGTGAAAACATTGAATTTCCCCTCAAGGGGATTAATAAAGTAAATAAACTTAAACTTAAATAATCTTACCCCCATTCAAGTTAGCGGAGGGCTAAACTGGAAGTTAGCCGCTCGACTGCTTAAGTCTATAGTGCGCTTGCTCTATGGGCCCCACAATGTGGAGGTCAAGTCAAGGGTGCATTTCAAATCACATACTTTTTATTCTTATTTTTTAGTAGATTCTGTAGCTGCCCTCAAAAAATATGTACAGTTGCATGCAGTATGCACACAATTGGGACATACTACTTCTTAGTAACATTAAGCTCCGAACTTTGACCCTCTTGCTCATATATCTCATATATACCTTGGGTATCAGACAAAACACTTTACACCAAGTTCGCCAGAGACAGAGGTCAACCTGAAGAGTACTATGTGCCGCACTTTAACAATACCTTGTGCTACAATTTCTTATAGAAGGGCAGCAGTGGTGCCCAGGTGGAAGGTTCAAACCATTGGCGGGGGAGCCCTTCTGTGCGGAGTATGCATGTTCTCCCCGTGTCAGCGTGGGTTTTCTCTGGTTACTCCAGCTTCCTCCCACAGTCCAAAGACATGCAGGTTAAAAGGTGACTCTAAATTGCCCGTAGGTGTGCATGTGAGTGTGAATGGTTGTCTGTCTCCATGTGTCAGCCCTGTGATAGTCTGGCTCCAGCACCCCAGCAACCCTCAAGAGGATAAGCAGTTAGGAAAATGGATGAATGGATGTCTCTGTTGTTCTTTTGCTGGTAATATTTATGATGATTTTGTCTATTTAAACAATTTATATTTCTATTAGTCACTTAAATGCACTGTTATCTTTCATGGCGACTTCTGTGAGCTGTCAATCAACTGTCAAGCTGTCAGTCAATGTGACGTCCCCTCCACTGCAAGGAGGATCGTGCGTCAGAATAGCCAGAATAACATGCTAGATTGCGATCTGCATGATATGACCAGATGTAGTGGGACATTCTGGTATTTTTGGTGTACTGCATTTAACATAGTATATAAAAGAATCAAATCAAATCAAATCAATGTATTGGGACGTACTGAAGCTTTTTCTGGCATACAAAATAATAGGGTAGTATGGGTATTAGAATGCACAGCCAGCTTTTTGGCTTCGTGCACCATTGAGCAACTTTCATAGGACTGAACGAGGCCCTGCCACCAACGCCATATCCACTTCTCTATATTCATCCTTGCACAGATAAATGCTGTATTAATGCTCTGAATGTTGCATACAGAGCCTCTTAATGTGGACTGGCTGTGAATATTTGGACTCATGACGTCAGTATTTCTTAAATCCTGGCTAGTCCTGAACCCAGTAAGAGAGCATGAAATCTGAGTCAACTTACATATTCCCAGCCTTGTTCCGCACGTCTAATTGTATCAAATGTGTTTATAAGCTGTCATTTGATATGTGCACAATTCCAACAATAATTCTGTTGTTTCCAATGATTTCTTTATTTAGCCTGCTCGGCTGTATGACAGTGCACAAATCCAAATATCATTCCCTTCTTTTGTTTCTCGTATTTGTCTCGCATTAATCCCTCTGCCTTGAAGCTGTTTTCATCATTTTCTCTGTTAAGCTTCTAAAATTAACCTAATCTTCTTTGCTTGTCATCCCACCCACTCGCCTTGTTGTGTGAGCCCACACTCATCTTGCGTTTCTGTGGCGTTTTCTAAGAGGAGTATGTTAAGATAAGTGGCATATTACACTCCCAACAGCACACACACCAAATGACTTTGTGATTATGATGCACAGGGTGTTGTCTTTGAGATAGGCGGACGTGAAGGAGGAGGAAGGGAGGGGGATTATGAGGCTAATTCCCTTATAACTTTTTCCCTCATTAATCTCTGCGGAGGGATACGAGATTCTTTAAATGCTAATGTTCAATAAAGATGTCAGCGGTGACATTTTACAGTTGCGGCGCAGATGTGAACAAAGTTGACTGTGTTGTTGTGGAAGAACTTTTCTCACTTTGCTCATACGACTCGCATCACGTTACTTTGAAGAATCCTCTCTCGGGATTAGACATGAATGTGCAGCAGTGTGCGTACTTGTGCGTCTTTGGCGAGTCAAAAATTCAAACATTTCAAGCCAAGGTCGAACGTAACACCCCGCCTTGTCCTCACAAATAACTCTTGAATCAAACTTTAATTCAAACACAAGTCGATTCGGTTTAATTTAAGCACATTCAGCTCTATTTACAAGAAATGAGTGGAGGTCAATGTGGCAACAAATGAAGAGCAAACAGAAAAACATCCTCAAAGGACTGTCACAGCAAAAATCCTGTATTTCCTTAAAAGCACCCATTGATCAAATAAAAACGTTACATATAAATCACTGAGGCCTCTTCTAATAATTAACGTCCACAGCAAACTCACTTCCGTCAATCCCTTTATACAGAATTAGTATAAAAAAATTAAGGTAGAACATGAAATGTACTACAGCTCCTTCCATTTGCTTCCCTGTTTCAGGGACGAATCATTCTCTGAAAATCCCTTGTGAAGGGATTTGATTGTTTCTGACACACTGTTGTTGTGTTGAGGCTTTTACGCTGACCGCCGAGCTCTTGTCAGCGTCTCCGCCGGTTGCAGCACCCTTGTGAGTTAGATGAGTATGTGACGACACTAAAGGTTGGCGTAATATCGATCTCTGTTCTGATAATCTCTGTAGGCAAAGCCAGCATCCTTCTTGCTGTGCGGGATCCGCCCGAACGGCGCGTGGTCGTTGAAACACGAGTCGAAGACCTCGTCCACTATCTTCTCCGCCTCCTCTCGGCTAATTTTCCTCACAGCTAGGATGGAGCGAAGGGCACGGCCTCTGACGCACTCCTGTTGGAGGGAAAATAGCTGAGTTAGTGTTAGATTATAGACACAAACCTCAACCTAGTAAAGGTAATATTTATCTCACTGCAGGTACCTGATGATGCTCCTTCAGGCCGAAGTTGAATCTGGAGACTTCATTGCTAAAGGAGCAGTCTTCACTGAGGTTAGCTGCCCGGATCTGAAATCATGACATAAAAAAGTCTTTAAATTTTGGTACACTTGATGTCAGACAGTGGTACTGCACATATTTTTGACTGATTCATTCATGCCAGCAAGAACACAATGCCAAAGCCTCAGACACACAGATGAAACTGAATCACACAGTAACCACAGTTTCCATTGCTCATAAATGCAGCAGCTCACCTCAGAACAAGCCAGATGTCTTAAGTTGTTGAACCAGTCCACGTGGGCCCGACAGTGATCGAAGGCGTGGATGAGCTCATGTGTGACCACTCGGTTCATATGAGACTGCTGGTGGATGTTGTTCTGACATAAAACGATCTGGAAACACAGGTAAATGTCATTAATACAAAGCAGTCATATTCTTTTACACCATAAGACACTGCTTTGACTTTAATAGTGCAGAGATCTCTTTCTTACTTGAGAAGAAGCTGCGTCGAAGCCACCGCTGACCGACCCGTCACAATCTTCACAGGAGAAATGACGGTCTTTAAACACTTTGCTGTGTTGAGGAGAGAAAGTGATCTTAATTTGTTTTCTTTGCTATAACAACAGTTTAAGTTTTTAACTATCCAAAGCCAGCTGTAATTTAGATGGCTGTTAAACTGCTGCAAGCGTGTCAATGAAGTGAAGGGAGAAAAAGAGGTGATAATTCTTGCATAAAGGACAACATCAGAGAAACAGATTATTAACTAGGAATCTGAATTCTGGTGCATGTTTGTAGTAGGTGCTCTAAATACAAAAGAACTCAAAATTTAATTTGAGTGAGATTAATTTTGCAACATCCAAATAGCAATATCAAGGCTGTGCTTCTAAACAAATTAATCAAAGGTCCCATTGGATAAAAAGTCGGATTCCCATGTCTTTTTAATGTGTGACATGTAACATATGCATCGGCAGCACTTTATAAAGTATTACAATAACATAACATAGCGATAACAATCATTTACTGTCCCTGTTATATTGTGGCCGATCATTTTCTCTGGTCAGAGGTTAAGGAGCTCCGGGACCTCATTGTTTTCCATATTTGTGGACATTTTCGGCCACTGTTCTTCCTTGAGTTAGCTGTTAACTGCTATGAGCTACTTTTTAAATTCCCCTCTGTGGGTCGAACACATGACACGTCATCAAAATGTCACACCCCTGCTGCCCATGATCCCATCTTGCTGGCTGCCCCTTTGATACAGACCTTGTTTCAGTGCTCTTACTACCTCCACTTAAAGACAAGACAACTCTGTCCCCCATTCTGCGATTGTACCTTTAATACAGAACAGTGAGGCAACATAACAGTGTGGAATTCTCGCCATGTAAAAAGGTCTACTGAGCTAACAAGTGGAAGACCTGGAAATGCTGACCAATCAGACAGCATTTGGCCCTTTTCGGAGGAAGTTTTAAAGAGACAGACACTCAAACGGAGCGTTTCAGACAGAGAGTGAATACAAGTATATTCAGGCAGACAGTATGAGAAAACTAATGTGTTTTCAGCACGTAAACATGTTCTAGTCGAAACCCAGAATTCAAGCATGAACCTAAAAGTGAGCATAATATGGGACCTTTAATGTCATTATATCTGCTTGTTAGTATTACTATCATAATAATTATTTTTCTCAAATAGTAGTGGCAGGCAATAACATGTAAAAAGTCCATTTTTTTTCCAGGGATGTAAATGTTACAGAGGAAGGAACAGAGACATACCATCCTGAGCTTTTCATGGCACTGAGGAGGAGTTTGGCATACGGACCTGAGAGGAGCACAGAGACATGGATGTTGCATTCACTGACACAAACCACTGCTAGCTAGATTAGCTAAAGCTACATGCTACTACTCCGCCAGCGAAATTGATATTATAACATTACACTGGTATTTAACATCACAAACACATTTGATAGACATCTCTCTGTCAGATAAGATATCCTCTGATCACTGCTGAGCTGACATCCTTTGTAAAGGTCTGTAAAGGAGTAATTAGCCAGCTAACACACTCACTAGTTTCCATTGCGAACTGCAACATGACCTGACACTTGTGATTGAAAGTGAACAGGCTCTGCGCGAGGGGACTCGTGTATTTCCCCTTGTTTCTCTTCGGGAATAAATCGTATCCATAGTCCTCCTCTTGTTTCGACTGATCCATGGTGTGAAATGTTGTCAGCGACTTGAAAATGTTAGCATAGGTTTCCCCGGTTAGCTGCCGCTAGCTAGCAGGCAAGAGAGGTCATCACTGTTTTGTAGATCACGTGGTCGCGAAAGGTCAAAGGTAATGAACGGGAATATTTACTTGTAATTTTGCTGCTATCGCTCGTATAGCCAAAAAACTGTCTATAAATATAATTCACATTAAAGTAATATAAAAAGAAAAAAAATTCAGCGCAGTTTTGTGAGAGGCTTCAACAGGTTATAGATTGTCTATTCAGAACGTGTAGGCAGGTCGTCAACTCCAAGCGCGATGTGTGGACCAAAACTAAAACCGAGTCATTAAACCTTAAAAGGGACAGTTCCCAGGGCAATAACTGAAGCTGTCTGTAAAACAGTTGGCAACATCACAAGGAAAATGGGCCCAAGCACAAAGATATATTTTTTATTTTTTTTTTTTATTTTTTAAAAATTTTATTTTAATACTTTAGTTTTTATTTCAGTTTAAAAATATATACAATCAATTTCACAAATTTGCCCAGTTTTTTTATATATTATTTTCTCCACTCCATTATTTTACAATATTAAAAAAAATGAGGTTATAGGGGGTCAGGAAAGGGAAGTGTGTGTTAATGCATGTAGTAGGATTTGATGTGGATATTTTTTTTAATACTTTGTTTTGTTTTGTTTTGTTTTGTTTTGTTTTGTTTTGTGGGGTGGGGGTCATATGGAAGACAAAAAATGACATAGGTATCAATAAAAAAAATAAGATGCATACAGAAATCATCAAACAGAAATAAATAAAATAAATATTGAATACGTGCTGAAATAAAGACGGAAATACTAAATAACTGTATAAATAAAAGAATAAATCCCCATTAACATACAGATAAAATATTACAGAAATAAATAAATGCAGTTATACAAAAATGTAGGAATATATGGAAGATATTTACTTATGTGTGTTGTGTTCATCATTAACTTTAATTCATTTATTTATGAATGTATCTATTTATTTCTATAATTAACATTTATTTATTCATTTTATGTATTTCTGTAGTTATTTCTTTCTTTCTTTATTCATTTATTTATTTATTCATATTCCTGTTTTTTTTGTTTTGTTTTAGTATTTACTTATTTCTATTTTTTTCTTTATTTATTTCTAAAAAAATTAACTTCAGTATTTGATTATTTATTTATTTTTATTTCGGTATTTATTTATACAATTTGTTTTTTTAATTTCAGTATTTATTCATTATTTATTTATTCTTATTTATGTATTTACGTATACATTTTTTAAAATTTCAATATGTATTTATTTATTTATTTTTATGTCTATTTATTTATACAACTTGTTTTTTTCAGTTTTTATTCATTATTTATTTATTTTTATATCTGTATTTATTTATACATTTTTTAATTTCAGTATTTATTTATATTAAAAAATTCACTATTTATTTGTTTATTTATTTTTATTTCTGTATTTATTTATGCAATATTTTTATTTCAGTAATTATTTATTTATTTATACTTAAAGTCATTTTTCATTCTCCTTAGTGCTGGCCTATTGTATTCAAAACCCGTGGGCTGTACTAGATATTTAATCACAAAAATACCGACGTCCATCGTTCATTAATAAAACCCGACACCTGTGTGATGTGCAACATCTTTTCGGTCGGTTGTTTGTGGACTTTGAATGACTTTCACGAACTGTGAGCGAAGCAGGGAGTGAAATATAGATGTAGTAAGTCATCTGTTGAAACAGACGATCTTTGGTTGCGCCTTGCGCATGCTCAGCAGCGCAAAGGCTGCCGGTACTCAGCTGTCATGGCTCCCAACGTAAACAGAAAGCTACCAATACCGACACTTTAATTTGTCGTATTCAGCCAAATTAACTGCAGCTACATTTTAACTGTGACTATCAGCCGGAGAAAGAAGTGCTGTCAGGTACTCTACAAGGTTCAAGTAGCTCCAGAGTCACTTATTCATTTATTTTATTTGCTTTAAATGTTTTGTATCTTTGCTAGCTAGCTGTTAGCCGCAAAAGCATGACGGCGTGATTCTCCTGTTTCCTCTTGGCTGCGACACCGACTTCAAGACCACAACCACAGCAACACGTGTTGAGATATCCTCCAAAACAAATGTCTGTTTCACAGGGAGTAACATGTCCGGGGGAAACAAAGCCATCGAGCTACAGCTCCAGATGCGGCAAAACGCGGAGGACCTGCACGGCTTCATGAGGGAGCTGGAGAGCTGGGAGACGGATATCAAGAAGAAGGATGAGGAGCTGAGGACGGGAGGACTTCAGGAGGTCCAGGTTCGTCTCTGCTGTCCATCTCAGGAGCAGGTAATGGTCTCTGGGTGAGAGTCAGGTGTCAGCAGTGTGTTGCCTCTGTGTTACAGAAGAAGCTCCCACCTGTGCGCAACAAAGACTACAAAACAAAGATGAGGGAGAGGAAGAAGAAGAAGAAGGAACCAACAGGAAACGGTGACGCAAAGGCAGAGGAGCCCAAGGAGGCTCCAAGGATAAAAGGATACGACTACAGATCATGGGACAAGTTTGACGTGGTAGCTGATGCATCCTTAAAACACATACTTACCATGATAGGTGAAGCCATGGAGTAGCTAACCAAATATTTCTTCTTCTGTGGTGGCAGGACAAGGCTCTGGCAGAGATGGATAAGGAGGAGAGTCCTGCAGAGTCTAATGAGTCCGACTCTGAGGAAGCAGGAGCTGATCGGGAGAAAGCGCTGGCTGAGAAAGAACAGGTGAATACTGCATGAGAAGCACTACAATAAAAGTAACTAAAGAGAAGAATAAATTACCTAGAGCTGAGTTTTATTTTCAGGGTAACACGTTTTTCAAAGAAGGGAAGTACGACGACGCCGTTGAGTGTTACACCAGAGGGATGGGTGCAGATCCTTACAACCCTGTGCTTCCCACAAACAGAGCCACCGCCTTCTTCAGACTCAAAAAGTAAAATGATTATAAGTCTTTTGTATTAAAATAAAAAAGATTGTTTAAGGTGTGTGCGTGGTGGGTTTTGTTCTGCTGTAAATCACTGAGACATCTTCGCAGGTATGCTGTGGCAGAGTCCGACTGCAACCTGGCGATCGCTCTGGACAGCAACTACTTCAAAGCGTACGCACGAAGAGGAGCAGCACGGTTTGCGCTGAAGAAATATGAGTCTGCATTAGAAGGTGAGAAACTGCTCAAAGGATCAGATCATGTGTTTAATTTGAGCGCTCTGAGATGACAACATGAATCTGTCTCTGAATAGATTACGAAATGGTTCTGAAGCTCGACCCCGGGAACACAGAGGCACAGAATGAAGTGAAGAAAATCAGAGAGGTGAGTGTGAAAGGATCATTTTGGAGTTAAGCCTCCTTTCAAAAGTCTGCTTCTCTTTTATGTCCTCTCTTTCCATGGCTGGTTTCAGACTCTCGGAAATCAGGCACCAGCTGTCCTGAGTGACGCCCCGCAGCCACAGGAGGCTCAAACAGTGGACCCTGAGCAGCAGAGACTGATGGAGGAGCAGCAGAGACGACAGGAGGCGGCTGTACAAAAAGACAGAGTAAGCTTTGCTGCAGTTTATATAGAGTTAAGTAGAGTAGCCAAATCTGTAGTCCTGTAAAAGTACTGCTACTTTGGAAAAACAAGTACTCAATTAGAAGTAAAAGTATTTACCGAAAAAAACAACTGGAGTAGCAAGTAATTTAACAGCAGCCGAATCAGTCTCTTATCTTTCTGAAAATGTCTCACATCAGATAACTCATTTCGGCTGGTTAGGAAAAAATGCTGTAATGTTTCATCATTAAATACAGGTGTGTCTGTGGCTGAAATATGAGTCATGTCCACATGAAACAAGAGTAGTTTTTTTTGTGTGTGCATAATTTAGTTGCTACTTTTCTGTCTCTCTTCATTAGGCTACACCAGTGATGATGACTAGTTAAAGGCACACCGTTAGCTTGAATATTTAGGCCTACAGTACAGAAGAAAGCAGGAGTATGAATAAATGCCTTAACAACATAATTAAATACAAGTTGCATGTTGAAACTATCCAAATGTAAAGGAGTAAAGCTCATATTTTTACTCTAAAAATCTACTCGAGTAAGAGTAAGTGTGCTACTACCAACCTCTGTGTTTAAGCTTTGCTGCAGCATCCCAGTTGGACTCTTCAGCTCACATATCAGAGGCTGGTAAATTAAAAATGAGCCCAGATGCCCATGTGTCAAATAGTTTTGATGTTCTAGACATTTTTGTAAGATTTTCTTGGTTTTTTTTTGCCATTTAATTTGCCACTTTTAAGCGTTATTTGTCGTGGTAAGGTAGATTTTGTTTTGTTTTGTTTTATTATTTTATTTTATTTTATTTATTCATCTATCTATTTATTTATTATTTTATTTATTCATTTATCTATTTATTTTTTATTTTATTTCATTTATTCATTTATCTATTTATTTTTTATCTTATTTTATTTATTCATTTATCTATTTATTTTTATTTTACCTTATCTTATTTCATTTTATTTTATTTATTCATTTTTTGCCAGGGTGTTCGTTTTATTTATTTATGATTTATTTGATAATTCTTATTAGTTTTTTTTTACTTTATTTTATTTTTGCTAGCGAGAATGTATGGTGGCCCACAAGGGCAACACCTGAAAACCAGCTAAAAGAATGAGGTGTTCAGTAGTCACAAAAGTGAGAACCACTAAGATATATCCACTAAAGATAAAGTTTCAGCACTGATTGGCACAAAAGTAAACTTTTAGATGCTGATATTCTTTTACAGCTTTCTGAAACAAATCAAGCCGTGTTTATTTGTAAATTGTTTTGTGAACGTGCCTTTCAGGGTAACGCTTATTTCAAAGAGGGGAAGTATGAAGCGGCCGTGGAGTGCTACAGCAGAGGAATGGAGGCTGACAGCATGAATGTCCTGCTGCCCGCCAACAGAGCCATGGCCTTCCTCAAGCTGGAGAAGTGAGCACAACTTTTCTTTCTTCACCACGTTTCTTGTCAGATTGAAAAGGAGTCTGTTAAAAGAAGATCAAACGTCTCTCTCTCCTGCTGCAGGTACAAGGAGGCAGAGGAGGACTGCACCAAAGCCATTTCTCTGGACAGCACCTACTCCAAGGCTTTTGCCCGTCGTGCCACGGCCAGAGTGGCTCTAGGGAAAGTGGAGGAGGCCAAACAAGGTGCTGTGTGGAACAACACTGTCCTCTAAAGGCAAACAACAGCAACTACATCTTATCTGCTTTTATCTAGATGATCAAAAAGCTGTCACATTCTGGATGTAGCTGTGTTCTTCTGCATGATCTGTGTTTCTGTAGTTGGTTTGATTTTCATCTTTACTTATGTGACAAAATTGGTCTCTTTTTGAGGCTGTGATTATCCTAGAGGCTATAATAGGTCATTTTAAACAGTGAGGTCAAGTGTCAAAAAATGGTCTCACTGCAGTGAAAAGGCTACTATGGGGGCTAACATCATCACACATGAATAAAACTCAGAGTCATTGAATCCACAAGAGTCTCAGCTTTCCAGTCCTACCCAACTTATGCAAATCCAAGTCTGTTTAGGGACCCAGTGTGCAGAAATATTCACATACAATAGGTGAAAATCACACATTTATACAGCATCAGACTGTTTGGGACGAGTATAAAGTGGGCATGTCTATACAGGGGAGGCCCAGGGGTGCCCATAGGACCATTTTCATTCAGATAGCGTGAGATGAGAGGTTCAGGGACCCCTGTGAAAAATGGCCATGCCGGGTTTTTCCTCGTCAAAATTTACCCTAACTTTGGAGAGTTATTTATCTTCCTTCCCAACAAGCGAGCATGACACAGATGGTATCAATGGATTCCTTATGGCATTATAGTTTCATGTGATACTATATCTCAGCTTCAGTACGAGTATCTATGGTTTCTTTAGAAAACTTTAGCATTCCTCTGCAAAAGATTCAAGTGTGTGTGTGTGTGTGTGTGTGTGTGTGTGTTACAGATTTTCAGGAGGTGTTGAAACTGGAGCCAGGGAACAAGCAGGCCTTGAATGAGCTCCAGAAACTCCAAATTGTGAGTCTCAGTATCCAGTTATTCGTTCAGTTTATCTTAGTCAGTAAATGATCAAGTTGCAATGGTGACTTAAAGACTGAGGTTTGTTAATCTGCTTGGTTTTGAGCGTCTAATTATACGAGAATTGGCATCAGCATTAATACCTAAATTCAAATTTAATGTAGGGACTAATGGACACGTCAGACTTTATAAGGTTTGATCTTCTACAGACTTCACTTCTCTTTTCTTTATGTCGTCGTGTTGTGTCAGGATGTGGCTTCCAGCGGCCTTCTTCAAACACCAGACAGCACACAGAGGAGAACCGTTCAGCCGATAGACAAACCGACACATCTGCAGTCAACTGTGAGTCTTGCTTTATTTATTTTTGCTTTACTTTTCCCATCAGTGCAGAGGACTTTTTTTAAGCAAATGCAGTCCCTGCTACACCAAAGGCAGTTAAGATGGAGATCATTCTGATGCTATAAACACTGATATGTCTGACTGTGTTACAGGTGAAATGTTTAATGTATAAGCAGGAAAATGTGCTGTATATATGAATAAGTAAATATACAAACACTTCCCACATCCCATATTTAAAGATCTGCTTTCTTTTCTTCATCTTCAAACTGTTTGTTGGAGAAAAAAAAGATATTTGAAGACATAACTTCAGACTCTTGGAAGCTGTGATTAGTCTTTGTATTTTAAATCTTATTGGCTAAAAGATTTAAATTACTGAAAAAAATAGCTTAATTGATATTGAAAATAATCATTAAAATAATACTAATCATCACAATAATTGGAAATAATTTGACTGTTTTTGTGCCTGTGAAAAGCAGATAAATTATTTAAAGTAACATATAAATGGAACGTGCTGTAGCATTATTCGTCCAGCAGGTGGCAGCAAAGACATCTGATTAAGGGGAGACAGTACCGATGAAAATGGTGAAACTTTAAACAGATATCACTGTGAAACGTCCCCAATTAATTACTTACTTAAAGACAGTTATTTTTTCCTTTTTTAAGTCTTCTCGAATTTGATGTTCAAATGTGCAAATGAGGCATTATTTATTAAATATGTGTTAATTTCCAGAACAAAAATCTGAACATTGGATAAAGTCAGGTTCAAAATTCTTGTTTCAATTTGTTGACCTGTTAGAGTTAAAGGTTTTTACAGAGGGAATTTTTGATATCTTTTTTTATCACTCCATTAATCAGAAAAAAAACTGTTAACAGCCATTTAAAAATATATTTTTCACTATGTTTTTAGGAATAAAATGTTTTGTAAATCAAGCTATGAAGGATGTATGAACAAATCCCTCTAATAAACCATCAGAGTATAGATACCGTAATACATTTGGGAAGTGTGGTGTATGATCTCTGGCTCAGATCATGAGAAAATGACAAATAAAGACTTAAATTGTACAAATTCCATACATTTTTACACAAAAAATGAGATACTACGGACTAATAGGGTAAAAAAAAAAATTAGCTAATAGAACCGAATCCATTACTTCGAGTAACTGAGATGTCAAACCCAGGAGTGACCTGACAAATGCTCTTTCTCTGGTTTGATGCCATACACCGCCTTTTGTTGTGTGTTGCATTCAGGAGCAGGGTGGCTGCATGTCCTTAAAATGTCTCAAAATGTCGTAAATAAAAAAAGTATTAAATTGTTTTAAATTCTTACATTTTTGTTACATCACCAACATAGTTTTTGGTGTTGGTGCTACAGGAAATGTAATTTTAAGAAGAGGGAAACAATATTCGACGTTGTGATTAAATGTTATGTTTATATATGCAAATGAAGCATTATCTGGTTAAATATGTGCGTTATACATACATTTTCAGAACAGAAATCTGAACTAAAAATGGACAACTAGATGTGTGTTTTGGTCATCTTCTTTCCACAAGTCTGAAAGAAGACATAATGAAAGCAAAATAACTCAAAATTGATCAGTACATGAAAAAACTGTGTTTCAACTTAATATTTTAATCTGTCATTTGCTCTTTTTTGGTGTCTTTACTAGAATTAAATTTAATTAATGATCTGAGGCTTTTGGTCTTTGACTGTTTCTGATCATCTGCTGCTTTTCAGAAACCTCTGCGGAGAATTGAAATTGAGGAAGTGAGTGGAAAGGTGACGGTGTCTGAGGTGGAGTCAGTCGGGTCCAAGTCCTTCATCCAGGAGGTGGTGAGGGAGGCCGAGGATGAATCCTCTCCACTGTCGACATCACCCAGTGCCAAGATGATCAAGATTGAGGAGATAGCAGAAGTTCCTACACCCTCGTCTGAGCAGTGAGTGGCACCTCTTGTTCTTGTGTGAGCTTAACCACGTCTGTGAAGCACTACATGTTGCATTATTTTGTGGACTGTGATATCCAGAGGTGTAGTGTAGGGGTGTGTCATATCAAATAGTTCATGATAATGCTGGTATAATTTCTAATATCATGAAAAAATCATATTGTGATACTCGCAATATTCCAACTTGTTGACATATTGACATCATAAAGTTACCCACGGCAACAACAAGCATGGCTGAAAGCAAAATTATTACAGACTCTCCGGTGGTTCCAAAAAGAGGAGCAGCTTCAGTAGTGTGGAATAAACTGTGGCGTCCTGAGTGTTTCATGAACAGCCCCCGCTTCTCAGACTCTTTTAGTGAGTTACTGATCAGAGGGAACTCAGTCAGCGGCTCCTCTGGCAGCAGCACAGCGTCTCTCTCTCTCCTTTCTCACCACGCGCATATGGGGGATATGTATGTATATGAATTTCACTGGAATTATGCGACTGCAAATTTTTTCCTCACTTAGAGACGAAAAGTGGTGGAGCATTGTTCCAGCAGCACTACACCTCTGGTGGTATCGATTATTCCCCCCTAGCAAACCATGTTCTGCTTCTTCTTCCCTGCTAGCAGAGAGACCAAACAACTGGAGCAGAAGGAAATCGCTCATGCTCCTGTACCTGTACCTGTACCTGCACCGTCAGCCAGCACCTCCCCGACAGTAACAGACCTGCCTCCTCCACCTACCAACAGCTTCCAGCTGGAGTCTGACCTCCGCAAGATCAGAAACCAGCCCGAAGTGATTTACAGATATCTGAGGGTGAGCTGTGTGTTTGGGGGCACAAAAATCAGACTGTTCGCACTCATTTACTGGTGACAGGATCATATTTGCGTGTTTCCTGTATAACAGCTCTGAGTGCAGTGGAGTTTGTTGCTCTTTTACTTTTTTGTTATTTGGATTTTTTTTTCTCAAACAACCTGCAACATTACAGTACAAACATTTTTCATGTGGTGGTCTGAGGTGCTTATTCCTTTATGATTTCCATGAAAGATGCAGATGTATTCTCATTTTAAATCATGATATCTACGACGAATCAGACAAATAAATCAGATTTGGTGCTGAACACAATCTAAATGTGAAGATCACTCTGCATTATTTTGTTTTAACTGATCCTCTCGACTTTGTTTTTGTCCTCGTCTTGCAGCAAATCAAACCTGAGGCATATGCAAACATTTTCCACAATTCCCTAGAACCTGACATTCTCAATCAGATCCTGAGGACGCTGCATGCTTTCTATATCAAGTGAGTTTTAAAAGATGCTCATAGAAATAAAAAATCTGGTTTTCTATTAGGCATAAGCTGCATTACACAGGTGTAGTATTTTACTGTATATTAACCCCCATCTTTCTACAGGAATGAAACCCCGTCCATCACGCTGGAGATCCTCAGGAGTCTGGCAAGTGTGAGGCGCTTCGACATGGCTGTCATGTTCCTATCGTCCCAGGAGAAGAAAGGTTGAGTATCTTTGATGTGCTGTTGCGGATGACTCACACTTTTCACCCACACATTCCGTCATATTAATAGCTGCTGTAACACTTCTCTCTTCCTCAGTGCTCAAAGAACTGTTTGACTTCCTTCACCGAGCTGAGCTGGACGAATCATCTGTCACAGCCTTACAGAGGAAATACGGTGTGTGACGCCGCACGTTCTAAAGACTTTTCATCTCAACACAAAGTGCTACATTATTTTCAAAGCCAATAAAGCATTGTAGTTATATTCTAATGCAGAATAAATTATCATTTAATTCACTTTAATTACATTGGACTGCTGTGTTATGGCTCTGAATAGATTCTATTCTATTAAAGTTGGAAATTCCCAAATTGTAGATTGTAACCCTGAACATGATGCATTTAAGTGTTACAGGAACAGTTCTCCCCAAAGTCAAATGTATATTTTTCCTCTTACCTGTAGTGCTGTTTATCAGTCTAGATTGTGTTGGTGTGAGTTGCAGAGTGTTGGAGATATCAGCTGTAGAGATGTCTGCCTTCTCTCTAACATAATGGAACTAGATGGCACTCAGCTTGTGGTGCTCAAAGCACCAAATAAATACATTTGAAAAACTCAACAGCAATGTCTCTTTCCAGAAATCATGACCCGCTTACTCAAGATAATCCACAGACCTTGTTGCGAGCAGTTTCATGTAGGAACTATTTTCTTTTTACTGAACTACACCCACCAAATGTATCACTGCACAGAACCAAGCATATATCTACTGCTAGCTCATGTGGCACCACTGAGCTAGCTAACGTGACAGTTCAGTTGAGGAGGACACCATTAATATTAACATTTAAAGCTGTCACAAGCACAAGCCTCTCGTCCATGAGTAGATGCACACTTCCTTCTGTGGGTAGAATGAATATAGTTCCTACAATTACTCAAGATAATCCCTAGCAGAATTATGTAGGAACTATTTTCTTTCTACCCAACTACACCCACCAACCGTATCACCCTGCAGGAGGAAGCGTGCATCTACTAATGGACAATAGGCTAGTGCTTGTGACAGTGCAAGATGTTAACATTGATGGCGTCCTCCTTGGCTGAGCTATGACATTAGCTAGCTCAGTGGTGCTAGGTGAGCTAGCAGTAGATGCACGCTTCCTTCTGTCCTGTGGTGTAGTCCGATGGAAAGAAAATATATGAAACGGCTTACAACAAGGCTTACAACAAGGTCTGTGGATTATCTTAAGTAACTGGGTCATGATTTCTGGAAAGAGACATTGCTGTTGAGTTTTCAAATGTGTTTTTTTTTTGACACTGTGAGCAGCACAAACCAAGTGCCATCTAGTTCCATTATATTACACAGAAGGCAGACATCTCTACGGCTGATATCTCTGACATTCGGCAACTCACACCAAAACAATCTAGACCGATAAATAGCACTACAGGTAAGAGGGAAAATGTGTACTTTTGATTTTGGGGTGAACTGTCCCTTTAAAGCTGATAAAAACAGAGACTTGCTGTGTAGAAACCTGTTAGTTGTGCAGCAGCTTATGTCATAAAAATCTGCAACTTTGCTGCACAACTGTTTCCATAAGTGTATAAGCATGCAATGCTGGCAATATGTTTTTTTATCAGAAGAACTACATCTTAAAGGGGATTATACCCCAACAGAAGCGATGTTCTGTAATGTTTATAAGTAAGGTAGTTTTGAAAAAGTTTCCAGCTTTCCAAAACATTCTTGAATGCAGCGCAAGTATGGATTAGTCTCTGTGAGTACTCTGCCCTGTATAAATGTTCCTCTCATTCTACCACAAAAAATATTTTATCTGCTAAACTGGCTCCGTTTGACCGCATGAGAGAGGAGACACAAGTATTCTGCTCATACAGATGTTAGTCTCTTTCAAGAAACTAAACAAATAAAGGTGTATTTTGTAATGTGTGTTGGCCGTTGTTGAATCAGTCACTACAAAAGCGAAAAAAGTTTTGAACTCAGCACAACATAATCTCAGATGTGTCACACAGATGACGGATTAGCACCAGGCAGTCACACAGCACTGTAGCTCATTGTTTATTAAGAATAATGGTGTATATTGTTTGGTAAGACAAATGGGAAAACATCATGAAAGAGAATGAGATTAGCTTTGTGTCAATAAAACCCCAAAAGTTATTACTCAAGCACACAATCCATATATATCCCTTCTTTATACCTGTCTAATCTTGTTCAGGGTCACAAAGAGGTTGGAACCTGTCCCAGCATGCATTGTGCTGAAGTCAGGGAAACACCCCACTCAGGTCGCCTGTCCATCACTGTCAGAGTACACAATGCTTGAGCAAATACAGCCATACATGTACAGTAAGTGTCGACAATAAAGAGATTACCAAACTATAACTATGAGCTCTCCTGTGTTCAGAGCTTTAGATCAGGAGAATGTAGCTGAGGAAGTTCTTCAGTGTCTCAGCATCCACACCAGTGAGGATCTGCAGGGGCAAACACATACATTAGAGTTATTTAACAGCTGTAAACTAAGCTGCCTTTCACAGTCAAAACAAAGTAACTACGTTTGGTTAAAATGGAGTAACAACCTACAGTATATCAGAATTTCTGCCCTGATAAATTTCCCTATAGTCAGAATTATTGTGACGTTGCGCTAACACCTCTGAGAAGACAACTTGCTCTTGAGTTAAATTACGGATATATTTGAAATTGTGAAACTTTCTGTTGTCATTTTCATCTGTAATGTTTAAAGATGCACTGTTAAACATGGTGGTCCGACCTATCTTGCACTTCTGTTGCTTTCCAAGCATCTTTGATAAACGAAATCTACCTGTATGGAGGCTAAACAATACACTGCTGTGGACAGGGCTGCAGCAAAATGTATTTTAGCCACCTAAAAAAATCTGTATCACTTTACTTGAACGCTAGTTTTGAAATATTTTCTCAGCTTAACCCTACACACTAACCAATCGAGTCAGTGGTACACCAGCATCTTTTGTCTTGCCTGGTAAAAAATACTGTGTTTGTCAGTGGAGTCTGGTGACTTTGAGATAACTGCTTTAGTTCCCCGTCAAAAAGGGCTGTCTGACAGCAAGGTGATGTGGTTAAAATATTTTAAATATAGCATACACTTAAAATTGTATATTTTTTAAGTGGGTCTTCTTTTAGGTTAGGTGAGGTGAGGTGAGGTGAGGTGGGGTAAGGTGAGATTAGTTGGGGTGAGGTAAGCCAAGGTAAGGTAAGGTTAAGTTAATGTCTGTTCAGTGCCATAAATTCTGTGACATGGGGGTTTCCAACCCTGCAGTTATTGTAAACAACCATTTTGATTCAAAATCAAATTACAATAAAACAATCACCCATAGGCTAAAGGGCAATATTTACATTTTTGGAAAAGACGGATAAAAATGCAATTTCCATAAAAAGAAACAACTCTTTAAATTTGAGGTAACTGGAAAACAGACATCACTGCATTCTGCCTGTCAATTACTGCACTGCCATAGAAAGATGGCTAACTAGACAGCTAAAGTAAGGCTACATAAAGTGATAGCTAGCTCGTAAGATAGCCACGGCTAGCATTAGCTAAAGCTAAAGTTGGTATCTTTAAATGAAAAATACCCATTCCTTATTTGATTAAATAAGATAGCAGCTGAATCAATTATTTTGAAGAAGAAAAAACAATGCTAAACTCCTGCTAAAGACAGTTAGCTTAGCAGATCTCCATTGCCATCCATTTTTTTGATGTTCTCTTTCTAAATTTCATGTGATTTGGTAGATACGCAACGTTTAAATCACATCATTTAAAAGTATTAAATTGTAAATTCATGTATTTTATTGGAGTCAATGTGAATATTTCAAATACTCAGACAGATAAAACTGAAGTTCATTGTTAGGTTAATGTTTATTGGTAGATAGGCTACTAAAGTTTCTATGAGTTTTCATGAAGGTTATCAAAAGGCAGTTTTGTAGGTAATGTTTGAGTTCTGTGACAGTTATTTTCTTGTGTAAAGTAATCAGCCTAAAAAGATTTAAAATGGAGTTATTATAACCTTTTTAATGTGTTTAACAGTTTGCTTCACTGCCTCTGTAGTTACTACTTTTTGTCTTCGTAGAGTAGTATGTCTAAATACACTTCTCAGCCAACAACAGCCTACCTGAGACACTGAGCGTCTCATTGACCATCACCGTCTTCCCGGTGTATGTGTTCTCAGCCTGGCAGCTGATGGACTCTTTGGAAATGTGGCGGTTCACGTTGATGTCAATCTCATGTCCCGTCATAGTCTTCCCGAAAAAGGTCCACTTGAAGCTGCAGGAAGGAGTGCACTCAGCCACGCATTTTAAGCTCGCTGTGGCCCCGATTTCAAGTGCATCTGGTCCTAAGATGACCACATTCCTCGGTCCATCTGCAAGAGAAAAGCCACAAGTACAAGCTAAAGCATGCTAAACCAGACAAAGTGGGTACAGCTATATTTCAGCCCTTGATATTTGCTTACCAGGCACCACCACTATGGTCTCAGCCACTCTGCTTTCCTTTGTCACTGGGTTAGATGCCACACAGGTGAGGTTGGCCTCGTATGGAGGCGTTTCAGGTGTGAAGGATATGGAGGCATTTGTAGACAGGAGCACGCCGTGGTAAAACCAGTTGATGGAGCAGAGGGGAAAGCAGTCAGGTAAACACTGCAGCTCTGTTGTGGATCCAGGCAGAGCGAACATCACCTCACCCACCGGTACTTCGTTGGGTTCCACAATGAGCACCTCATAGGGCCCATCTGGATAACATAACACCATATTGAAAAGTTAGTAGTGATTGGGTAGTCAATACATTCAACTGCCAGTACCTTAAAAGTTCTGTATGCAACATTCAGAGCATTAATATAGCTGCAAACCAGTATTTGCCATGGAAAGATATACTGGAGTGATGGCGTCCTAAGCAGAGAATGAAGTCATGCTACCTGTTTGTGTGTGTGTTGCAATCTGAGCTTCTTCGTTCATAGTTGTGGTAAACTGGACCGTTCATTCCTATAAAAGTTGCTCAGTGGCGCAAGAAGCCAGAAAAATTCAACTGCTGCATATGATTGGCACCACTTCCGCACCATTAGGCCAATAGAGCAAGCGCACTGGAGACTGATGCCCTCCGAGCTGACTACTTTCAATATAGAGCTCCATTAACTTGCATGGGGATAAAATGATTTAATCATGCGGCTCTTCTCAGCTTTCCAAATGTAATCGGACTGAATGGATCAAATCCCGATAGTCATACTTGTCATCTCGTGGGGGTTGTAACACTCCAAAAAATGTATCCACTGATTTACAGACGCCTCT